TGGGAATTTTTTTGAATAAGAATAAGCCAAGGCCGAACCCCCCCCCTCCTTTCTCTCTATTTTAATGGGAGGGGGGCGAGGAGGAGGAAAAAAAGAGAGACACACAGCTTCGTCTGTTTGCCCCCCCCCCCGCACCCTCCAACCTTCTCTTTAAAAAATTGTTTGCTTTTGCGGGCCACAGAGTTCCTTTGCCGTATTTAAAAGTTTTTAATCGACTTGGAAAAGTCTTTGCAAAGCGAAGTTCATCTCCAAGGTTAACCCCCCTCCCAGCCAAAGGCGAGACCCGAAAGCCAAACAAGCCGATTTCTCCACCTTCTGTTCAAACATTTCGAGTTCCAGCACCGAAAAGACATATATTTTAATATGGTTTTTTATTTTGCAAAAATAAAAAATAAAAATGATAAGAAGTGGAGATTATCAACCCGCTGTAATCTCAACGTGATATATTCGGTCGGAAAACGCTGGTCACCCTTTCTATTTTTTTAAGATCTTGAAAAATGAATAGCAATTTTTTTAAATAAAAAAATTAATAATTCTGTTTTCAGAGAGATGAAATGCACCTCAGAAGCCCATTCCAGGCCGTATCGTTATTCCAGTCCAATAAAAATTAAATACAAGCAAACATTGCTCTTACTCGGGAGTAAAGACCGTGCAGCCAGGCCTGGACATGTTTACTCGAATGTAACCCCCCCCCCAAACCAACTGCCGCAGCAGTGCGACTTGTTTCCAGGTAAATGCCTGAGATCTGAGAAACGACCTTCTCCGTTTTCTCTTCATCCTCTCTTTCGGGCAAATTCTTGTTAATATTTTATTTTAGGGTGGAGTTAGCCAAGTGCTCCTTCCTAGACCCCCAAAATGCCCTCTATCACACACCCCTCTCAAAAAGTGTTCAGTCATAAGACCCTCCCTCCATTGCTCATCCATGTGAAGGAAAAGGATCACCCCCCCCCCATGAAATGGACAACCCCACAACCCCTGATATTGATGTAGAAAACGGAACTGTTCCAACCGCTCTCTGAGCGCTCTCTGCTACCGGGTTATTAATTACAGAATAGAAGCTTTGCTCCAGAAACACTCCCCCCCCAATTTACACATCCCCACTCCCGCCGCACACCCCAATATACCCTAACGAAACCCCAAATGACAAACGTCATCGCCTTCCCCTTCAATTAAATTTTTTTGGGTGGGTGGGGGAGTGGAGATAAAACAACAGGAAGGTATCATTATTTTAAAACAAACAAACAAGCTATCATTATATATATATATATATATATATATATATATATATATATATATATATATATATATATGGAGACCCAATCAAACACAAAACTTTGGGCGTTATCACGAATAAAAACAGTCGTCCCACCCCTGCGGAAAAATACTAACTTGGGTGGCGTTAGGTTTTTAAGAAATTCAAGATCACACATATTCATCTATCTACACACACATTAAAACCTCTCTCTTTCTCTCTGTACAAATATATACTTATGTCTATATGAAAGAATCTCTCCCCCAATTTCCATGACGCCTCCCACGCCTACCCCCCCCCACGACAAGATATCCAGAAACCCAACGGATAATTGAATCTGATACCCCCCATCAGTAAACTGTCAAAGGCGGTTTCAGGGGACCATTTAGAAAACAGCAGCAAGCCGAAGAGAAAGTGATCTGTTTAACGAATTCATTTAGGACCCCCCCCTCATCCCAACCCCCACATCCCGCTTTCAAGTCCTTATAAGTAACTGATCCGGAGTGACTCCGGTTTTCAAGGCAAGACGTCCAATGCTGGTGTTCCGGATGGAGCTTTCGCCACCCGTTCCAAAACACCGGCACAAAAACAAAAAACCACAAAAACGGGTGTATGTGTGAAAATCAAACCATCCGGCAGACAGGTAGCACATTAACACTTCCAAGACCCCACAACCAGACCCCCTCCCCTTTCTCTCCCCTATTGTGTTTTCCAAGCGGCTCTCTAATTTTATTAACACCACCCAACAGTTCAAGATTTGTCTTCAAAAGATCAATCAAGCTTTGAAAAGGGAAAGGGAGACTCCCTCTGGGGGGCAATCTGCGTCTGTGGCGATTATATTTTTTAATAGTAAGTGTGAAAAATGAAAGAAAGACACATTCTGGGCCTATTCTCTATACCGCCTTCCCCTTTCACTAACTTAACGGATGATATAAATAATATTTCAAATAACTTTTCCTCTTTTTTAAAAAGAAAAGAAAGGAAGAAAAAGTTATCCTTAAGATTTCAGGTGCTGGAAATATGCACATTTTTTCTCCTGCCTTCCCTCAGTCTAAAAGCACCTTAAACAGCATCACATCGTACCGGAGAGAAACTTTATTTTAAAAGAAAGCACAGCAGGGTTTTACATGCTGAAGAATTAAACACAGCTCCCGACTCTTGCCTTGAAACACTGCAATTTCATTATCTGGTCACTGAAAGTCAAGGTGGTAGACCACATGAAGGATTTTAACAATACACCAGCAAAAAGAAGACCACAGACTTGCATCCTGGTTTTTCCACCTCTAAAAAGAGCTCCGAATAACATTATTCAGTCAGTCCCGATCAAGACTGTGTTTTGAATTCAAAGCTATTCCTTAACATGTAGAGGGGCGCTCTGTAAAAATGAGTCAAAGATGAGCTAGATGGAGAATTGTGGGCGCATGCACAGAAAAATACAAAATGCACTAGTGGAGGCAGAAGCTTTTAAAAAAACTAATCTTAAGATTCTAGGCCTTATGGGTTTGGAAATAAAAAGGCAATGCCTGCTATAATATCAGGATCTTAAAACTGTAGACGGCAGAATAAGGTTTTCAGTGGTTGAAATGGAAATTTGTGTCACTGTCCCAACCATAACAAGGAAAGTAAAATTATGCAAAATTACAGAATGTGCCAATTTGCATAATTTATGCAGGTTCCTGGTTATTATTATTATTAATGCACAAAGTTCTGAAAAACCTGGTCAGAAAAAGGATTATAAATTATTCTTGAAGACCCTTATTTTTTTTTTATTATTATTATTTTAAAAATCATGTCCTCTCAGCATCTCCTAAGACAGTTATACTTTACACTTATTAGGAACCTTTGAGCTACAGAGATTTTATAAAGTCCAACGTGTTCTGCTAAGGTATTGAAATCTTTGAGAATATATTCAAAACCAGGGGAGGAAGCAGCTTGGACTTTCTACAATATAAAAAAAGGACCCACTTGAATAGTTAAATGTTTTTTAAAGGCTTTTTAGTTTTCATTTCACCCCTCTGAGAATTTCCTTTTTTTAAAAAAAAAGAAGTAGGAAAAAATAAAAATAAAACTCAATCCTTAAAACACACCCTTTCCACAAAGCCTTTCACGTGACTGTTTAGCTGCGGTCACATATGCCCTATATTTTTTAAAGCATTCCTACCCAGTCAGAGATGCCCTCAAATAATCCCGGGAATTGTAGTTTGCCGAGGGGGCTGGGAACCATAGCACTGCAAGGTCTCTCCTAACAATTCCCAGCTCCCTTGAAAAACTATAATTTCCCAGGATTCTTTGTCGCAATCCATGACTGGGGCATGAGAGTGATTGAAACATGTGGATGTTGTGACCAGAATCCTTTAGCCTCGGAGAGCTGGGTAACCTGAAGTCCTCTGGATGTTACTGGACTCCATCTCCCATCATCCTTGGTCCTTGGCCATGCTATCTGGGGCTGATGGGAGTTGGGAGTCCAATCATCCAGAGGCTCACAGGTTCAGCATCCCTGAACTAGACCATCACTTGCCTTTACTGTCCCTAGCTACCTCTGTCACCTGCCTTCACTGCCCCTGTCTACCTCCATCACAACTTTGGCTTCTTTTAACTCAGAGTCCTCCAGATGTTGATAGGCCGCACTCCCTTTATCCCTGCCCTGGGTCATACTAGCTGGGGCTGATGGGGGTTTGAGTCCAAAAACACCTGGTTCTTCACCCCTAGCTCTGGTGAAAGAAACTCTGTAAAAGCCTCAGCGCCTAGGGCTTGCCGATCGAAAGGTCGGCGGTTCGAATCCCTGCGGCGGGGTGCGCTCCCGTTGCTCAGTCCCAGCGCCTGCCAACCTAGCAGTTCGAAAGCACCTCCGGGTGCAAGTAGATAAATAGGGACCGCTTACTAGCGGGAAGGTAAACGGCGTTTCCGTGTGTGGCTCTGGCTCGCCAGAGCAGCGATGTCACACTGGCCACGTGAGCCGGAAGTGTCTCCGGACAGCACTGGCCCCCGGCCTCTTGAGTGAGATGAGCGCACAACCCTAGAGTCTGGCAAGACTGGCCCGTACGGGCAGGGGTACCTTTACCTTTACCTTTAAGTCTTTCATCTCACTGACTGTAAGCTCCTGGGTGTAGAGGCCTATCTTCATTCTTTCCATTTATTATGAAATCCTTGTCCTGCCTCTTTGCTTGACAACAGGCCTCCAAAGCAGCTCACAGTAAAATAAAGCAAACACACAAACAACTCGCAATAAACTTTTGAAACGAACCAACAGAAAGCAACGGTGGCTGCAAGACTACAAATGTGGTAGTTACCAGTATGAACATCCCTTCCCCGCACAAAGAAAGCAAGCAGATCAGGGGGACAAGGTTAAAACCGGAATCGTTTTCTGAATACTGGGAGGTGGAGTCTCAACAGCACGGGGAGGGAAGTTTCATATACTAGCAACAGGCTCGTTCTCTGAGTGCCACCAAAACAAGGCCATCTGCACAAGCACAAGGAGGAAGCCACTGGTGGGCTCAGAGGAATTTGCAGTAAATATAAACAAACTAACTTGGAATGGAGTAGCCCCAGAAAGGTGTGGCTGGCTGGCTGGCACACTCCAGGAACAGAAGCACTTAAATGCTGAAACATTTTTTTTGCAGTTCCCACTCACTTCACAATGTCAACATACAATAGGATGGAGGAAACCAAGAGAGAGGCCAACAATTATTATTTTTTAAAAGGGGGTGTATGTGTTTGTAATTGTCCCCCTCCCTCCCTTTCTCTCTACCTTTGTCGCCCAAAATGCCGTCAATGCTGTGCTTGGCCTTCTTCTCGCTGTCGTCCTCCTTCTTATCGCAGTCCTCCTCTTCCTCTTTCTTCCCGAACTTGATTCGGAGCACCCGGCTAATCGAACTCACTAAACCTCAGACAGTCAAAGACAGAAGAAGAAAATATAAGCTGCTTTGAAACTGGAAAGTTGAAACTGGGAGGCAAAAAAAGGTACTTCCATCAGGAATGGTGAAGATTCTCTCCATCCATGGTGGAAGGTCAACATCTATTGCTGCTCCATCCCCATGACACCCTATCACCAGCCCCAACTCATGAGGCCTGTCCATCTGGAGATTGCAGATCTCCTATTTGGATTTTCAAAGCACAGGGAACGTCCAGATTTGGGGAAGAAAATGCTTGGGGCAGCAGTAGTTGGAGGGCAAAGTGGAATAGATGAGGGGGAATTAGAGGAAGCACTAGGGTTCGCAATCCACATTAAGCCAAGGTATGGATTGGCCAACAGCCCAAAAGTCTCTGTTGCATCCACACCCAACAGGAACTTCTTCTAAGTAAAGGTAAAGGGACCCCTGACCATTAGGTCCAGTCGTGACCGACTCTGGGTTGCGGCGCTCATCTTGCTTTATTGGCCAAGGGAGCCGGTGTACAGCTTCCAGGTCATGTGGCCAGCATGACTAAGCCACTTCTGGCGAACCAGAGCAGCGCATGGAAATGCCATTTACCTTCCCGCCGGAGCAGTACCTATTTATCTACTTGTACTTTGACGTGCTTTCGAACTGCTAGGTTGGCAGGAGCAGGGACCGAGCAACAGGAGCTCACCCCGTCACAGGGATTCGAACCGCCAACCTTCTGATCAGCAAGTCCTAGGCTCTGTGGTTTAACCAACAGCGCCACCCGTGTCCCTAACTTCTTCTAAACTAGGGCTTAAAACAAAATAAAAGTGGTCCATGGACCATCAGCGGGCAGCAATCCTTGTTCAGGTGGACATGCCCACACCAAATCATTGTTTAAATATTTAGTTTTAATCCTGCAAACCGCCCTGAGACCTGCGGGAATAGGGTGGTGTACAAGTTTAATAAATAGTAATAATATTTAAATTTTGATTGCTTCTTTTATTTTTCTTACATATTGCATTTCACTGCATTACAGTGTGAATTTTATGGAACACAAGTTGTAGTAATATATATGAAATGAAAGGAATAAAAACCCAATGAGGTATCTCACTTAGGAAAGTACTTTAAATAGAGGGAGAGCTCGCTGGTCCATCTAACTCAGTATTGTCTACTCTGACTGGCAGCTGCTCTCCAGGGTTTCCGGGAGGGAGTCTTTTCCCAGCTCTGCCTGCAGATGCCAAAGACTGAACCCAGGACTTTCGGCACGCAACTCAGATGCTCTACCACTGAGCTATGATGCTTCTCTGTGTTTGAGCAGGTGTCATCTTAGATGTACTTAACGCTCGCATGAGTCATTAAATTAACAAACAGGCCAAGGACTCTCTAAATACTGAGCCCAACCCCCAACCCCAGTTATATTTAGGATAAACACACACAACTCCCATCCTTAACAAACCAACATACTGAAACAGGAGAGGTTAAGGGGTGATATGATAGCCATGTTCAAATATATAAAAGGATGTCCTATAGAGGAGGGAGAAAGGTTGTTTTCTGCTGCTCCAGAGAAGCGGACACGGAGCAATGGATCCAAACTACAAGAAAGAAGATTCCACCTAAACATTAGGAAGAACTTCCTGACAGTAAGAGCTGTTCGACAGTGGAATTTGCTGCCAAGGAGTGTGGTGGAGTCTCCTTCTTTGGAGGTCTTTAAGCAGAGGCATCTTCCGTGTGCTGCGCTGGCTCGCCAGATGCAGCTTGTCACGCTGGCCACGTGACCCGGAAGTGTCTGCGGACAGCGCTGGCTCCCGGCCTATAGAGTGAGATGAGCGCACAACCCTAGAGTCTGGCAAGACTGGCCCGTACGGGCAGGGGTACCTTTACCTTTACCTTTAAGCAGAGGCTTGACAACCATATGTCAGGAGTGCTCTGATGGTGTTTCCTGCTTGGCAGGGGGTTGGACTCAATGGCCCTTGTGGTCTATTCCAACTCTATGATTCTATGATTCTATGAAACTACTGTCCTCAAAACGCCTTTGGAGGGGTGTGTGCATTAAGGCTTCAATTGGTACATTGGCATAAAAAAGGGTAAAGGGACCCCTGACCATTAGGTCCAGTCGTGACCAACTCTGGGGTTGCGGCGCTCATCTCGCTCTATTGGCCGAGGGAGCCGGTGTACAGCTTCCGGGTCATGTGGCCAGCATGACTAAGCCGCTTCTGGCGAAACCAGAGCAGCACATGGAAACGCTGTTTACCTTCCCGCTGGAGCGGTACTTATTTATCTACTTGCACTTTGAGGTGCTTTGGAACTGCTAGGTTGGCAGAAGCAGGGACCGAGCAACGGGAGCTCACCCCATCACGGGGATTTGAACCGCCGACCTTCTGATCAGCAAGTCCTAGGCTCTGTGGTTTAACCCACAGCACCACCCATGTCCCTATACCTTGGCATAAGCAGAGGCCAAAAGACTGCGATGGGCTGCTGGTCCTAAATAAATAATAATAATAATAATAAAAATCCCCAACCTGTGGCCCTCCAGAAGTTTTGGCCTACAACTCCCATGATCCCTAGCTAACAGGACCAGTGGTCAGGGATGATGGGAATTGTAGTCCAAAACATCTGGAGGGTCGAAGCTTGGGGATGCCTGGATTAGAGTGTCTAGGACATAGGTACAAGTAGGTAGCCGTGTTGGTGTGCCGTAGTTGGAACAAAATAAAAAAATTCCTTCCAGTAGCACCATAGAGACCAATTAATTTTGTTATTGGTGTGAGCTTTTGTGTGCATGCACACTTCTTCAGATCTGAAGAATATCTGAAGAAGTGTGCATGCACACGAAAGCTCATACCAATAACAACCTTAGTTGGTCTCTATGGTGCTACTGGAAGGATTTTTTTTATTATTTTGTTTAGACTAGGATATGGGAGACCAAGGGGTCAAATCCACCACTCAGCCATGAAGCTCACTGGGTGCAACCTGGGGCCAGTCACCGCCTCTCTCAGCCCATCCTACCTCACAGGGTTGTTGTGGGGATTAAATGAGGTGGGGGGAGAACCTTGAGCTCCTTGGGGGAGGAAGGCAGAATATAAATGCATGGGGAACCTTGGGTGCCGAGATCAAATCCAGCCCTCTCTGTCTGGCCCTGGGACTCTCACCAGGCCACACACACCCTGTTCTCCACTCTTGTTGAGTGTTTTTGCCTGGCTAGAAATGCATCCTTGAACTCCAATCATTGCCAGCCTGGATGAAGGATAGGTGTGTGTGTGTGTGTGTGTGTGTGTGTGTGTGTGCCAATATGTGGGTTTGTGTAGAAACCAACCCACCGTACAAAGTTAAAATTCCTATTTGTTGCTCTGCCGCTAGCCCTGACAGCCACCAGAAGGTCACTCACAAGGGAACAGTGGTCCTGCCTGCCCTAAACAGTTTGGGGACAGCACCGCCTTCCCTTATATGACCCTGTACATTTGTAAGAACTTCTATGGGGGCCCTGCATACTAGCACAACATGAGACAGATCAATTCAGCTAACAGGTTTGAGGGATACGGCCTTTGTGGTGGTGGCCCCTTTAGTGTTGAAGCTTCCTTCTCAATTACCTGCTCATGGCGCCCACAGTACAGGCCTTCCAATGGCCCTAGTAACCTACCTTGGCCCCTGTGTCCTAACAGTATGGTCATTTGGAGACCTGAGCTGTCCTCAGTTGTGTTTTACCTAACTCTTCATGGCCTGACTTACGAAAGCCAGCGAGATGCAGTGCCGGGAGTGTTTGACGAGGACCTGGTTCAAATCCTGACTTGGCCATGAAGCTTGTTGGGTGACTCTCAGTCTAAGCTACCTCACAGGGGTGTTTTGGGAATTAAATGAGGAGCGGGGAGAACCACGTACGCGACGTGGCGCTTCTTGGAGAAAAGGTTGGGATATGAATTCAGAAAAAATGATAAAATTTTAAAATAAAGTCAAAGTGTCTTTGGTGATGTGACAGTGTAATGCATCTCGTCTCGTTGTACACAGCTGACTTCCGATAATTCCAGTGTCTGCTGGAATTGAGATTGGTGGGGCGGAAAGGAGGTCAACAGTAGGTGGCGACACAGCCAATAAAAGGCAGTCAACTAATTCCGGTTGTGCTCCCATCCTCCTGGTTGCTGAATTCTGCAAGGTTAATGTTGAGACTAAGGAGGAGGGGGGTCACTCCCCCTAAACTGGATGCAAATAAAAGGAAGACTGGATGAGGCCCCATTTACCCTCATGGAGCAGCCTCTACTGGATTTCTTTCTTTCTTTCTTTCTTTCTTTCTTTCTTTCTTTCTTTCTTTCTTTCTTTCTTTCTTTCTTTCTTTCTTTCTTTCTTTCTCTCTCTCTCTCTCTCTCCCTCTCCCTCTCCCTCTCCCTCTCCCTCTCCCTCTCCCTCTCCTTATGCCCTCATTGCAAATGTATAGACATAGAACTTTTTCAAGTTATACCTATTGAAGAATTTAGTAGAACCAGAAAACCAGAAGAATTTAGTAGAACCTAAATTCATGGACCTAAATGATGTCTCTCCCCAAATTAAAACATCAGACCTTCCTGGTTTGGAAGGAGGAGGAGGAAGAAGAAGAAGAAGAGGAGGAGGAGTTTAATCTGAATTACCCATCCACACCATGAATATCCGGACACCCGGAAGGCAGAGTGAAAGTGAAATTGACAGGGTCTAAACACTGTCTACTCATACTTAAGACAATATTATTTTTAATGACTTTGATGTTTTCTGAATTGGGGCCTCCAAATTGTTTTTAATATTGTGCTTTAATGCTATAACCTGCCCTGGGACCTTAGGGTGAAGAGTGAGTAATACAAACATAAATAAATAAATACATTAAATTTACTTGCCAAGTTAAATCTCCCTGCCTTTTAACAATGCCTGCTTCTAAGTAAATGCGCCCAGAAGGGGAGCCTTATATGAAATTCTGGTATACAATTTTACTCAGGTGGCTCAGGGTGGATCTTACTAATTATATCATGCACTTGTTAAGTACTGTATATCCTGCTTTTAATGCCAGTTCTTAAAGTAAGTTTCAAATATGGCAAAAGTAGATCCACTCTAAACTATAGGAGGAGTAACACAGGAACATTAAAACAACCTGCCCTCAGATGCTAAAGTGTTCAGCATCCAGATAAAAAAAATAAATGGAGGTTATAGCCAGCTAAGTCCTAATACTCAGAGTAGATCCATTGAAATTCATGGACCTAAATTAGCTATGGCCATTTTTTTTTTTAAAAAAAGGGTTTTCCCTTTTCACGATCAAGTGGTATATAAATTTTATGAAAAATAAAATGCACGAATTCCAATGGGTCAACTCTGGGTAATGCTTGGCATTGGGTATTAACCTGGAAAGCACAGAATGAGGTGGCACAAAGGGACTGTACCATTACGAACTGGGTGTGGGTGTGCTTGTATCAGTTTTGGAATCCTCTTGTGTGCAAAATGGACTCTCCTCCCAGGCGGCAAAGGAGCACAGAGGAAATAAAAGCTAAATAGCTTCTCACTACTATTATTACTATCATTGGGTGGGTGCCTTCCAAAGTCAGATCCCCCCCCACTTGTGGTTTTAAGTGGCACTGTCCACTCCAAGACCTTTTTCTATTTTGCTGTGCAGATCAGGACTTCTTACACCCTCCAGGTATTTTGAACTATAACTCCCATCACCCCTGATCACTGGTCATGCTGGCTAGAGCTGCTGGGAACTGTAGTTTGAATCATCTGGATGGCACCCTCTCTTCCTATCAGACATAAAGATCTGGAAAATGTTACTAGGTATATGAGTTGATGGGGGCAGGGACAAGAAGAGATGTAGGTTTTCTGTTCTGGATCATCTCGACAAAACTCTAAGCGGTTGTATGGTTGGTTCTGAATCTATAGCAACAAGAAAGGAATATTTTCTTTAGTGTTTTAAGAATGTAGTATGACAGCTTTTGGGTTATACCAGGCTCTCTGCCAGACTGATGCATAGCTCTGTGATACTCAGAAGGTTGCATCAAATGTATTGAGTAATACTAAAATGGGATTGTCTGGCTTGTTCTGTTTTTCTCCTCAAATTGCTCCAAACCGTCAGGAGAAGCCAGGGAGATTGAAAATAAGTGAAATGCCACTTGTTTGATTCATGCAGGCTATTTCTCAAAAAATGAATAACACAAATCAAGCATGCATAATTGCGACCCAAAACAAAGGCCACACAACAGCACCTCTGTGACCCAAAATCTGGGAGGCAGAGAGACAGGTGTGCAAAGTTTTGAGTTAAACTTTCAGTCTGCTGAAGAATGCTGTGACATCTGAAAGCTTGTGAACTCACCTTCCAAATTAACTTGATAAAGTGCTATCCATTATTGGGAAAATATGTGAGCTGCCACCTTTTGGTACAGAGCGCGCGCGCGCACACACACACACACACACACAAAGAAGTTAAAGTTTATCTGTTAATAAACTATAGCTCTGGGGGTCAATTTTATCTATTAAATGTATAACCCTTACTGTATTTGCTGCCATGCAAAATTAAGAGAGAATTGAGGTTTTAGATTTCTGAGTCTCCACATTCAGTGTTTAATACCTGAAATTATGCATGGTATGGAGACAGCGGAAAGGTCTTCCTCCCTCTCTCCTAACACTAGAACTCACGAATGTTTGAAGATTCAGGACAGGCAGGGGAAAGTCATTATCCGCATAGTGCAAAGTTAAACTCTGGAACTCACTCCCACAGGACGCAATGATAGCCACCAACCTAACTGGTCTTAAAAGAGGTTAGGGCAAATTCAAGGAGGCTACCAATGGCCCCTAGCTATGATGGTTATACTCTCAGTCTCCACCTTTGAAGACAGCAATGATTCTGAATACCAGTCGCTAGGACCCACAGGAAGGGAGAGAGCTCTGATACTCTGCTTGTGGGCTTGCCAATGGGGCAGCAGGCTGGCCGCTGTGAGAAGAGGATGCTAGATTAGACCTGATCCAGCTGAAGGCTCTGATAACATCCACAGGTCTTTCTACATTCTCAATGGACACTTTTAGATTTAGCAACCCTTCTACACAATTCACTCCTTAGTCTACAGGGTGTCGTTATTAGTCCAGATTTGCAAATACTGGGGCTCAGGGACACCCCCGCCCCTAAATGATCCAGAAGCCACTTAAGCCGCATGCAACATTTCTGCAAAGACCAGCTTCTGCTGATGGGGCAGACAGAGCCAGAAGTCAAACCTGCAAATTCAGCTTGAGACTCAAGCCCGGCTCTCTCATCACACTCAGCTGAAGTTGTTTTTGGACTGTACCACCTGAAACTTCAAGAGGACGGGTTGGGGAGGAATTTGTGTAAAAAGTAAAAAATTCCAGAGTAAACCTGGAGAAGGGATCAAACTCCAGTTTCATCTCTGCTTCCTGCATCCAGGGATTTGCCTATTTATTTCATCCTGGGCCTCTCAATCTGAAACAGGACGACAGAACAAAGGCTATGCAAGCTTTAGAGTGCTGCAGAACTCTTTCTTGGGGAGTCACAAAACGCACGGAACCTGGTCTGTGCTTTTGAGCGCGTGCATTGAGTTATTTGCCCGCCTCTTAGCCTGGAGGGGAAGATTTTGGTCCCAAGCTGGCCTGTTTGTAGATAAACGCATCCCTAGATTAGTTCCTCCCTCCCCCCACCCAATTACAGGATTTCATCCCCCCCCCTTCTCCCCGTTTGGGCTTTTTCCAAGCTGCCTTCTCACCTGAAGGGACCGTGCTTCGGTCGCAATGCCCATCCTTCAGCAGTCGGTCCCGGATCTCCCAGCTAAACATCCCGGGGTTTTCTCGTTTATACTCTTCGATTTTCTTCTCCACGTCGGGAGTAGCGACCTGCTTTTGGGATCAATGCGCCGTCGGGAAAAGATCCGAGGTGGGGGGGGGAGAGGTTTGCAGCGGGTGGGGCAGGGGGGAGAGAAAGAAAAAGGATTCACTTTTAAATTTAAATTTTGGGGAGCAGGTAAAGGTGCGCCCTCGCCTCAGCCCACGCGCCTCGCCATTCAAATGTTCTTTTTAAACGACTCCCAGCTAAACCCTACTCAGAGTAGACCCATGGAAATTCATGACACTTAGCCAGCCAGGTCTGTTAACTTCAGTGGGTCTACTCTGAGTAGGACTAGCAGTTGCTACAACGCCCTCTTAAAATAAAAAATACATAAATAAGATCCGTTTTAGTCAATAATGTATTCTAAGGCTGCTTGTATGAAGCCTTTGGTGGTTTCCCAAATTACCCCCCACCTCAGGAAAACCTCCCAAATCCAAACTACTCAGCCCCCTCTCCTTAAAGGCTTCTAAAAAAAAAAAGCCCACCCCCTTTAACCGGAGGGTCCTTATTTTACAACTTTTGATGGTTTCCCAAACCCCCCAAAGAGCCCAAATTTTTCAAGTCAATATTTTATTGTACCTCTCTATGCATTTACCTAGGAGTAAACCCGGTTGTACGCCGCAGGACTCGCTTCCGAGGAATTTCCCCTAGGGATCGGGGCTTCGCGCGGGGGCTTACTTGAGAGTAAGGGGGCCGGTCCAGCTCCACCCTGGGATCCTTACTCAGAAGTAAAGTTCCATGGGTTTCAGTGGAGCTTGCTCCTGAGTAAGCATGCCTGAAGTCGGACAGATTTTCCCTCCCCAGCCTCTCACTTCTAAAGATACATATTTTTAAAAGATTTTTTTTAAAAAATGACTCCGAGTGTGAACGATTATAAATTAGCTGCAAATATCATCCTTTATCCACTCTGCTCTGATTTATGGTTGTAAAGTGAGATCAAATGAGGAACTGACAGATTTCGCTTTTCTCTCAGTAAACGCTTCCTATTTTGAGCTGCCTGTCGGACATGACGGGACCCATCGCCCAGAGGCTCATCTCATGATAAATAACCACGAATGCAAAAAAAGAAGAAGGAGGAAAAAAGAGAGCAGCCGGAGGGCCCCGATCCGGGACACGTCTCCCGAGAGAAAGCCCGTCCGAAAATCCTTCCTCAACAGACCATAGCTAAGAGCCACGATACCGCGCAACTTTTTCCTTTTTCTTATTCGGAAGTAAGCCCAGTTGTGAGACATAACGGGCAAACCGAACCGTGTCTGCTCAGATCCCGTGGGGCTTTTTTTTAGTCCCCAAGTAAGCGAAGCTAGGGTGGCAGCTTCAGGGAAATAGTTAAGCTGCCATCTAGCTCCGTATTGTTTGCACTGGCAGGCAGCCGCCATGGGAATCAGGTAGGGTTTTCTCGCAGCAGCCCTACCTGGAAACCCCGAACCTTCTGCACACGGAGTACAATATGTTTTCCCTTCGCTTTCAGGGTGCGTGTCCAGAGAAGGGTCCCCCCCCAAAAAGAGGCAGAGGAGAAGACGTGAAGGCTACCCCCACCCCGCGCATGCCCGAGGTAGCTACCCCGGGGACTCCCACTCACTCACCCTGGGTTTACTTCCACCGATGGCTCCTGGGCGGATGGAGCCGGTCTCCTGGTACCTGCAGAGGATTTTGGAGACGCAGCCGTGGGAGACGCGGAGCTGGCGGGAGATGACGCAGGGCCGGATCCCGTGGTGGGCCATTTCCACGATCTTGTGGCGGATGTGGTTGGGGAGGGGTCTCCCGTTGATGAAGACGCCGCCTAGCTGGTTGACCCGGCCTTGGCCCAGCGGGGTAGAGACTGCGAGGTAAAGGAGAAGAGAGGGAGAGGGAGAGAGAAGGCAAAGGTGACTTTTACCTGCGGGTTCCCTCGGGGGTAAAGCCCTTATCACACCAACCGAGGTAAGGCTGCCATCCTCTACCTACACCGCCTGAATTTAACCGGATTTCGAACCAGACCCGTATCGCGGAGTAAGTCCCGACCGAACCCGTTTATTGGCTCACAGCATAAGTGGATCTCGGGACCAGATCCACCGCAGTCTCCCCTTTGTGATGCGGAGCGGGCAAACTTACATTTTTACTCACTTCGTTTTATCAACATATTCCCCGTAGTTATAGATAATTTGCTGGATGTATAAGGAAGCACCTATATAATCTAGATCTCGCCTATCTGAATTTGGAGACAAACCTATTATCTGGATCGGCAAATTTATCACTGTCTTGAGACCGGGAAGAAAGTGAATCGGGTTTTCATTTAGTACAGGCTCACACAACACACGCGCACACCCTCCTTTATTCTCAATACAGTTACTCGGAAGTAAGGTCCCGATCCGATTCACAGCGGAGCTGGAGAAAACTAAAGAGGGCGAGGCCGTTTCTGACTGAACCCGCTTCAAGTTTAGTTCCGGACTCAAATCGTGGCTGATAAGTTTATTATATTTTATTTTAAAAAGTGGGGCGCTGAAAGATAAAATTCACAACATTCTGATTGCCGATCCTAACCATGTTTGCCCGGAAGTAAGTCTCTGCGATTTTTATTTATCGCACTGATATCTAAGGGGACGGGAATGAGCGGAGGATTTTACAGCAATTCGGGTTATACCGAAGCGCCCGTCGCCGGCACGTTTGGTCTGGATTTGGAGTACTCCAACGGAGGACCCATTCAGAGGCCTTATCCACAATCGACTTAACTAAAGACTTGGAGGAAAGGGATTATTTTTGGGGGTGTCCCCCCTTAATTTTAGGAAATTTCACCCCCCCCACACATAAAAAGTTCTATGGTCTTTATCGATGCGGATTCTGGATGAATAAAGCTCCACTTGAACCCAGGTCCAGTTAAGCAGGAATAAATTCTGGTTACAATGAAACGCTATGAAGGTGAGCCTTCCTTAAATATCTCTGTCCCGTGGTAACATCCCTCCATCCTAAAATTTCTCGCTTTTAAAAGCCAAAGGGCTGTTTTATGTTCAAACGACACGCGTGCAAGTGAAACACGCCTCTTTCTTTTTCCCAACCCCTCCTAAGAACCACACCAAAGTCAGGGCTTTGGGATCGCGGTCCCGATCAGAATATACTTTCCTGCTTCAATTACGAGGTCAGCACTCTGTGTATGCGTCAGAGACAGCTTACAAAGACAGGTTTGAGAACTTTCAGTGTAACTGACAAGGCCGTGTGCTGGGGTGGGTTTTTCTCACACTCCCCCCTGAAAACATTTCCCTGCCAGCTGCTGCCTTACACGCGCTTGCTCCAAGAATAAGCCGCACGGAACAAAGAGGAACCACTCCTCCTTAGGATCGCGCCGCGCGCCAAACACTCGCGCAACAGCATCCTAGGCGCCAGCTCCTCGGGAGTAAAGCCGGTTTTATTCAGCCAGGAGTGAGCTCCCTCGGGAGCAAGCATGCCCGGAGGACCCCTCAAAAAGGAAGCCCCATTGGGCTTTTGAGGGGCTTACTCTCGCGTAGACATGGCCCCCAAGACTCCTTTGGAGCCAGTTTCTCCCTTTAATGTCTCTGGCGGAGATCCGAACCTCTCTCCCTCGGGAGTTTCACTGAACCCAGGAGGAGAGCGGCGCCCGGTTCCGTGGTTTTCCTCTCCCCGGGTTCATTTTAAATGCAGGACGTCGGAACCATTGAAAGGAATGGACAGCGTTACCTTCGGGCCATCCCTTTCAGTGGGTCTTCTCTGAGTAAGTTGGAGGCAAATACCAGGCGCTTTGTCGGTCTGCGCCAAAACTTCTCAAAATTCCCCTCCCCTCCTCCTCCCCTTAACCCCAATATATATTTTATAAATGGTTCCCTGGGCGCCTCTCCAGCTGAGCGCGCAGACATCTGTTTGCGTTTCCCTCTCAGCTGCCTTGATCTCTATCTGTGTAAGGTTGTCCTTTTTCGTCTTCTTCTCTCGTTTGGCCTACACGCGTCCCCTGCAAATAACAACCGCCAACGTCTTCTAACCCCCTCTCCCCAAACCACTACTTTGGATAAACTACAAAATGTCCTTCCTCCCTTATCCTTACCCAGCTTGGAGAACGGCACCCTTTATAGAAACCTCATCCCCCCCTTTCTGTGACCTGTTAGGCTTGAAAACAGCCAAGGTTTGGGGGGAAAGTGTGTTTGTGTTACGTATTTCTGTTCAAACATATACTGTATGGACACACACACACACACACACACACACACACACACACACACACACAAGGAATACCTGTTCATCTTTACATAAATCAATTTATATGCATACATAGAAAGAGTTCATTTCAGTATATATAAATCAGGGATTATCAGTATTTAGTGATTAACCAAATCATAAATGGGATCCAGAGTAAGCTCGCTTTTATATTTTTATATGATGCTTTTTATGATGCTTTTATACACATATACAGATAGTTCTCACATAAAATAAAAGTCTATTTTATACATTTGCACGCTTCCTGATATATTTTTTAAAAAGTATTCCTATAACCAAATCTGCGTTATAAAAAGCGCCCACCTTCCCAAGCGCTCTTTCTTAGGACTCCAAAACTTGAATGAGACCCGGAGAGAACTTCTATATATAAATATTGCTTTAAGCGGGTATTTAAAGTCACATACCCCCAATTTTCTGGTAGTGGAAAAGTAGACATGAATTTTATTTTGAGGGGTGGTGTGAGAAAGAAAAGTATTCGGGTTTCTCCCCCCCTTTCCTCCCTTCCTCTCTCTTTTTAATATTTCTTCCTCGCTTCGAGGATGGTGGCTCCCCAACTCATTTGGAAATTGGGGTGGGGGAGAGAAAAAAAAGAGACTGGGATGGGGGGGGTGTTATATGATGGTCTCTCTCTCTTTCTCTTTCTCTCTCTCTCCCCCCCCCTAACCCCCGACTTCCACACTTCTTGGCGAAGAGAGGAAAGTGGATTCCGGTCCTCGCCTGGCGGTTTAATCAAGAATCACGCGCCGCTAATTCGGAGTCACTCGGCGCGCGCTGTCATTAGCCACAGCTCAGCCTCGAGTGGGCTCATCCTGCCTCCGAGAGGCGCCTGGACCGGCCGCCCGCTACGCCTCGTCATTATTCCCCATCACGTTGTGCAAATATTTTGGTAATCCCCCTGATCTCTTTTTCCCTTTCCAGTGCCGCTTCACTTCATTTGCTCGCAGAAAAGGAGGCCCTTCACTCCAAATCCCCGCGGCGTGTGGGTTTTTGCGCAGCCGGCGTGGGTCCCCTGCCTGCTCGCCCCCCCGCCCACTGCCTGCTCGCCCACTTGAGCACGCTCTCGGCTGAGCGAGCTTTGCTTTAATAAATGCAGGGAAGGGGACCCGGAGTTTGTTTAATTCTGGTTTGGTCGCCAATCAGGGGACCTGTGGTGGTGGGGGGAGAGACTGGAGAAAATTGTGTGGGTTTTTTTTTTAGGGGAGAGATGTCGGAAAGCCGCTTTCTAATTACTTCTCGCTCTCATTCAAATATAAAGAGAGAGAGGGGGGTGGGAGGTTGTAGAGGCGAGAGAACGTGGGAGTAATTGACAAGAGAAAGTGACAAGTTCTTTCCGAACCTTTGGCGCGCCCAACGTTCCATCGCAGACGCGCCGGGTCGCTTTCACTCGCTTCTCGTTTCTAAACCGAAAAATATCATCGCCGGACTTTGGTTTTGGGGTAAGGGGCGGTGGAGGACGAACAGACATTTTCATGCAAACGGAAAGCGGGGGTAAAGGAAGGGAGCCAGCTGCGCAAAGTTCATTCAAAAGCCCCTTCCAAAACGGTCTGCGACGAGTCAATGGCAAACGAAACAACCCCACAATATATTATATGTATTATATCTATTACGACCACAGTTTGGAAAATTGGTCTCTCTTTAGAATTTGGAGGGAAACTTAGGAATGCCAAACGGCAGCGAGAAACGCCTGACTCCTTCTATCACGCGCAGGCTGGCTCGCAGAGTGAAAAAGACCCGCTTTGTCCCAAACGCGCCTACCCTCGCAAGCAGGCAGTTGTAACCGCCGTCTTTACTCAGGAGTAAGCCCGGCAAGAGGGCTTCCTCCCCAGTAAAAGGGGACTGGCTTTAGGGCGGTTTCCAAGCGCGCTTTCAAAACAAAACTTCATTTTGAACAAATGCCTCCTTTTTAAAAATTAAGAACACGGGCTGAAAGTTGAAGAGAATAATGGCGAAAAGTTTAAAAATGAAACGAATCGGAAGGCCCCGCTAAGAAGCGAAGGAGGAAAACCAAACCCTAACATTTTTATTTTGTAATTAAATTCTTCTTTTTTTAAAAAAAAAACAACAAGTATCTAACCTGGGAAGGAAAAACGAGCCGCCTGCTTACCTTCTAAAGGAAATCCGGTGCGGGGATAATTCTGTCCGGGTGCTGGGCGCATCATCCTTGGTACTGTCCCAGGGAGCGCAGCCATACTCTAGACGAGGCTGCTGGGATGAACGGGTGGGTGGGAGGGAAGGAGGAAAGGGGGGGGCGCTGGGATGGAAGGTTTCAAGTCGAGAAAGCCGGAGAAAAAAGGGGAGTCCAAATCTTTGCAAGAAAAAAAGTGTCTATATAATTTTTTTTTACCAAAAAAATGGGGTGCGGGGAGAGAGAACGTGGAGAGAGACAGAAAGAGAGAGGACCCCTCCTCTGGTCTGTCCCCTCTTGGAAAACCTCAGCCACTCGCCTCCCCCAAAGCCCCCCCAGAGTTTTAAAAAAATGAAAAAAAGGGGGGGTTGAAATTGACCAGCTGGAACTGAGCTTGCGTCCTTTAGGAATGCGCGATGAAGACTGTGGAGTGAAAGCGAGCAGAGGTTGAATTTCTTTAGAGGAGGATTGTGGAAGCTTTTCTCTCCCCCCTTCCTTTGCCTCCTTCTTCCTTCCTTCCCCTCTTTCTTCCCTCACTCTTATTTTGCGTGCGTGTGTTGCTTCTTTTTTGGGGGGGGGGAGGAGAAGAAGGGGGGGTGTCTGATGACTGCTAGGATAGGGTTGGAAGTTGTGAAGACGGGTTGAACTTTGGCGCATCGGGGGAAATGCAAGAAAGGAGACCGAAGCAACTCTGATAGGCTGCGGAGTGGGGATTTCCTCCCCCCTTTCTCCCTTCTAAAAAACCTCCTTTTTTTATTCATGAGCGCAGAGAAGGGAGATTTAACTCCGAGGCTTGGGAGCCAATCGCAAAGGGGCTGGTGTGTCCCCCGCTTCTCCCAGACGTATATCTAGAGGATTTGTTTTTTTAAAAAGTGGGTGGCGGTGGTCTCCGTAGGAGAGAAAACGGAATCTTCCCCTATATATCTCTATATATTCTTAAGTGCTAGCATTCCGATCGTTTCTTTTTTTAAAAAAAACTTTCCCAAAGTTTACCTGGGGAGGCGGAAGAATGACGTCCCTTCGCTCCCCCCCCCCAAGAAAACAAACAAACCACTATCTCGTCAAAAGTAGTTTTGCCACTTCCCAGGACAAATTAGGTTTTTTGGGGGGTGGGGAGAGCGAGGAAAAGGGGAGAGAGAGGGGGAGGACCTCAGCACTCTCCCCTCAACTCCGTCGCCCTAACTCCTCCAGGGACCGCTTCTCTGCCCCCCCCCAACTTATTAGAATAGAGGTTTCCACACAAAAATAAGCCGTAATTTCCCCGCTAAAGGGATTCTAGGAGGGACTTCAATTCTGTACTAAGGAGAGGGAAGTGACAACCGGGAACCCCCTTACCTTAATCCAAGCCTTAAACTTGGGGAGAGAGACCCGTCCACCTTGACTGCATTATATATGTATAATATATATTTGAGAGACAACGTCTCTACAATAGGTTTCAGAACAGCAGGAGCAGATAAGATTCGCTCACGTTTCACACATCGCGACCCACAAGTCTTCCAGTCAGTCAAGGAGGTCTTCCTGCTTTCACACCTGGCAGGTATTCTCCCTCCCCGAAAATGAGGAAGGGTCGAGGAAGGGACCCTCATTTACCGGTAGCTTTAAGCAGCTGGAGGATCGCTCTCCTCGGACCTCTGAGCAGGAGAGGGCTTGCTTCCGAGTAGACGTCGCAGCATCGCTTCGCTGGTAACTTGGAAGGCAATAGACGTTTGTGGAAAAGAACAAACACATCAGTACTAGGATTTACTTCAGAGTAACAGCATGGTTAGAAGCGAGCCGGTGGGTCGCTGAGCCCATTTTAAGTTTCTTTCTCTATCCCGTGTAATTTCTTGAGAGTTAGACACTCAGGTGTAAGATCTACACTTCTCCCCACCTCCCACCCCCAACTTGGCGAATCGATTTTTGTCGGCTGCTGGTTGCATGGGGTGTTGGAACACTAAGATCGCAGCCAGGCAGCCCGGATCCTAGCCACGTGGATCTGGCATTAAGGCCCCACTCGTGTTACCTGAAAGCGCTTAAGATCTTTCAAGAGGCGCAACCCGATCCTATAATTCATATATACTCCGGGGCATGTTTCAGTGAATCTGGTGCGTGCGTGTGTGGGGGGTTGTCTCCTGCGCAACCTACCCGGCGAACAACAGCCCGGCAGCAGCCAGATTCCATGCACGTTTACTCGGAAGCAAGCTCTGTTGACCTCGATGGGAACGGCTTCACGGGAAGCGGCGCCTAAGGATGGCAGCCCTTTCGTACGCACGTTCTCTCGGAGTAAGTCCTAGTGGGTTTCACGGCACCTAGGATCGCAGCCCCCCATCCTATACACGTCTCAATCGGAAGCACCACCGAGTTCAGCGGGGCTTATTCCCCCTTCCCACAACCGAGAAGAATTTTCTGAAGTGAAAAAACAACAACCCCTCTCCATCTCTTACCCAGAACTAGTTAAGGTTACGTGTTCCAGCTTTTTCTTAATAATTATCATTATTAACTCATATTCCTTTCCCAGCCGAAGTACAATAGCTAGATCTTTGACATTAATACCAATAGGAATAAGAACATGTGAATCATCTTTTTCTAGTCGATTTGGTTTGTTTGGGTCAATTTAGCCCAGGCTACGACGTCCCTCCTCTCCTAAACAGCGATCATAATTCTCTGAAACCCAGGACAGTGGCAGGGGCGGAGAAGGAGGGGTGAAGGCAGCTGGTCTCCCCGCTTCCTCTGAAGCTTTAAGGAGGATGACTCCATCCCTCCTTCCCAGCGGGCACCGACGCCAAAGCTCCGAAGTGTCCTTTGTTCCCCCCTTCTCTCTTCTCTCTC